GCACCTTAGTCCTCAATGAGATATCCTTGCTCCTCAGCACTTGAAACAGTTCCTTCACAGTTGACTTTCCCAATGCTACACGTCGTCTCATGTCCTGACTGCTGCTTCCGTTGGCATCGATCGGTAGCTCTTAGCCCTGCCTTTTCTGGAAACCTATAGGCACACCTCCTGAGGAGTTAGGAGCCTCTGTCATTTGCCACCTACCACCGCCAGGCTCTCTGAGCAGAGGCAGGAACCCTCTTACCCATCCATGGCAGCTGACATGGATTTTTTTCAGTACTTTAACCAAATTTAGAGGCTACTGCAGGCGAAGAACTATGATACAAATAATGGAAAAAGAAATTCAGTTAGTAGACTCCAAATATACTTACCTTGTTGACTCTTGACATAACAGCAAAAATGGCAGCATCAGTCATGACAGTGGTCTCAATACCTGCTTCGGACAAATTGATGGCCATTTCATGACCCTGCAATAGGAAGGGAAGGGTGATGCAGGCGTAAATAGTGAGACACGGTGAAAGAGCTGACGTGTACCTGGAGCTGGGCCTTCAGTGACACTGGGCAGATCCAGAATGCAGTTTCCAACAGGTAACTCATTTTCTGCTATGGTAAATATTCTCTGGTTGAGGTGCAGGGAAGCCCAGGGGAAGCCAATAAATGTCTAATATCCCAGAACAGCCACAGAACTGGAACTACTACTTACTTATAAAATCAGACACAGCTAATAAGACAGCTCCTGGCTTGTTATTTTATAGCATCCTATATTATTTTTTGAGACCAATTATTTACCTAAGGAGCCCTAGTTGGGCAGTGGTTAAAGTGCTTGGCTGCTAACCAAAAGATGAGCAGTTTGAACCCACCAGCCACAGTTCTGGAGAAAAATGTGACAGTCTGCTCTTGTAAAGATTATGGCCTAGGAAACCCCACAGAGCAGTCCTACTCTGTTATCTAGGGTTGTTATAATTAACATTCGACTCGATGGCAGTGAGTATAGTTTTCATATTTTTTATCATTTACCTAGGGATTGAGTAAGGTTGGGCCAAATATCAGTCACCTCCAACATAATTTATCCTATTTTGATTCCTAAAAGACCAATATTTACCTCTTCTTGGACCCAGCAGTTCACCAAACTTTCTTAAACCAATGTTTAAGGATGTTCACAGGATGAACAACTTGAAAATCTTCTTAGCATTTCATTCAGTCTTCTCAAAGTTGGCATGGCCCCCGCCCACCCCTCCTTGAGGCCCGCCTCAATTTTCCTTTTTCTTAGCAACTCCAGCAGTTAATTCCCTACCTGGCAGAAAGGCGCACACTCTGCTACAATGACGTGGAATTTCCGCTTTCGGGCAGCCTCTCTGAGGAAGGCCTCTGCTGTTCGGGAGTAGCCAATGGTCATGATCACTTCATTGGAGTGGATATGCTCCAAAGCCTGGGCTGCAATGTTCTCCGTTGTCCCTTCTGCACAGCCAATTTTTGTTTTTTTAATTTTTATTGTGATTTGGGTGAAAGTTTACAGAGCAAATTCATCTTCCATACAGCAGTTCACATATACTTTGTCTCATGACATTGACTGTAATTTCCCACAATGCAACAGCTCTCTTCCCACTTCTTCCCTGTAGTCACCTCTTCCCTGTGTCCTTCCCTCCCACGCACTCCTGCCCCACGGGCTGTCTCCCTGTACATACACAGCCCTTCTATTCTCCCATGACTGATTTCTCCAAGGAATACATCTACCTACTGTAAATGTTACAGGAACTCTGTAGCATAGTACCTAAGGCACTTTACTGCTATCCAGAAGGCTGGTGGTTCAGACCTACTAGCCACTCCTTGGAAGGAAGGCAGGGCAATCTACTTCCATAGTGATACTGCCTCGGAAACCCAAGGAGGGGTCACTATGAGTCGAGGCAAAATAACAACAATAACAACTGTAAATGCTCAGCTCATATGCCTGTCTTTTGTCTGGAAGCACAGCCAGATTTGCACGGCAAATATTACAAAACTGTCATGTTAGGTCATAGACATGACAGAATATGCAAAGACCAAGTTTGCCCTTCACACAGGCTGCCCACCTAGTAGACCCCGATACCTACCACAGGGTTCACGGCTTCAAGTAAAATGTCACAATTTCTTAAAAGGCCCATTTCTCTGTGGTTTTCTGCCTACCAGGTTCTCAGCCTGCCCTGTTTCCTAGCAGCACCTCTGCTCATCAACCAACTCCACATCAAACCCCTTGCCACTATAGTTCAGACACCCCTTGTAACTGATTTTGAAGACAATGAATTCAGGCAAGAAATGGGGCGGGGGGGGGGCGCGTCAAGTATGGAAAATCCTCAAGTGCCCAGGGTGAGGTAAACAGAGCTTCCCCTTTAAAGAACTTTTCTTCCAAAATGTGGCCACAGTACCAGAGTTAGAAAGAGGCCAGAGAAGAAAAACAAGAGAGGAATTTGGAAGCAGCAGCTTATGGCACAGAGAACTCCAGTGTCTTTTTCCCCTGGGGGACCTCTGTAACGAGTATTTGCAGGTCTCAAGGGTCAGAGAGACAAGTAAGTAGGAGGGGATGGAGGCGGTGTGTGTACACAGCTGTCCCTCAGTATCTGTGAGGGACTGGTTCCAGGACCCCCCTACCTCCCTACTTCCCCATCCCCATGAATACCCAAATCTGAAGATGCTCAAGTCCCTTATATAAAATGGCAGCAGTGTTTGCATATAACTTATGTACATCTATGCTCCTGTGTATTTCATATCAGCTCTATATTACTTACAATACCTAACACAAAGTAAACGCTATGTAAACAGCACTTGACACTCTCTCTTAGCCTTTGAGGAACTGCTTTGACCACTTAATTCACTTATTTGCTTTTTTTTTTCCCCTGAATTATTTTGATAGTTGGTTGAATCCAGGTATGTGGAACCCTCCAATGTGAAGAACTGACTGTATAACAATTCAGGAGGAAGTTTAATGCAGGGAGGTCTATCAGCTGTGGTTTTAAGTTCATTTTCTTTAAACTGAAAGTAAAGCCCTATCTAAATAAAGAGTTATTGTCACAGTACATTTGCAGTTTATAAAGGATGAAGGACAAACCCCTGAAAACCAGAGGGCTGGCTGTCTCTCACCTCTGCTGATGGACAGCTTCCAGGGTCTTCTATCCCCTTACCTCCTGGCTACCTGTCCTGTCCACCTATGGACCCAAAAGACTCTCACCCAGCTCCACCAGCAGCTCATTAATGGCCTCGATGATGTTGGACTGAAGTTGGGCATAATGGAAACTGAAATCCTCACTCAGGCCTCCGGATGTCAGGAGTTTGTGCAAGGATTCCTGCTGATCACTCTCGTCACTCCGTCCGTGAAGTCTGTGGAGGTAACAAGATCCAAAGAGGACGGTGGAGAGAAGGTGTGGTTAAGGAGGTAACTGGAGGCTCCAAGTAGGGGGAGGGGCTCGTGCACGTGTCACTGGGTCCAACTCAGAGCCCAGCGCGGGCCTGACCTGCCATACTCCTCCCGGATAATCTTGAGCACTCTCCGCACCATGTTGCCCACTGTAGTCTCTGAGGGCTGCGCGGCCGTCATCCTCCGGCCCTCCCTGCGGATAATCTCCATCAGCTCCCCTACGGTGCAAGACAGAGAGAGTGAGAGGGCAAGCGCGGTGAGGCCAAGGCGACCCTCTGACTTGGGACCCTGAACGGAAAGGAGCCGGAGTCGTGGGTAGGCTTAGACCTGTCTCACCTGCGTTGCTCCAGCGGTGGTCCGTGATGATCTGCCGTAGCAGTCCCAGGGTTTCCCGAGCCATATCTTCGGAGCTGCGCCGCCCGCCGCCCCGCTTCAGAGCTTCCACGAAGCTCTCGATCCTCTCGGACAATTCCGAGCCCTTCGCCGGGGCGCCTGGCATCTCTCGTCCGCCTCGCCCACAAAATCGGCACCGGTGAGACCGCAGCGTTTGCACTTCCGGGGCGGGCGAGGACGGCTTCCGCTCTGGGAAAAGAACTCCAGTTTAGGCGACCGCAGGCCACGCCCTCAGCCGCTTGTTCCAGCGAACTCAGCCGCCTGAGCCAATCAGAGTCGTGAGGCTTGTTCTGTAACTGCGGAGCATCCCCAGGGCAGGAAGACCAGAAGTGGCCTTTCTTGGGTTCTCAAACTCTGAGCGAAGGTGAAGTGTAAGACCTGAAGCGAATAGCTAGTCGCGTTGCTATGGGAACAGTAAGACTCTGTCTCCCTCCCCAGCCCAGAGACTACGCTGAAGTTGCTGCACTCCTTCCTTGCCCGCAGCTCCTGACACAGACCTTCTACGTGTTCCAGGTCCACTGCCCCTTGGGCAGACCCGCCATTATGTTGTTGTTGTTATGTGCCGTC